TGGTGTATCGTCCCATTAGAAACTCTTCTTCTTGAAATTCAATAACTTTGCGCCGATTCGTATTTCCCGTTTCTTTTCTCCCCCCGTTTTCCGCACCGTCGAATTAATCGCGAATCACGAGCACGAGAAAATAATCCGGAAATAGCCGAACATCGAAATTCCGTGCTTGGGTTGGCTCAAACATTTGTACATTTTCTTGGACATTACACGTAAAATTATGCTAGATCGAGTATTGCTTTGCCCTGATTCGCGCGCGATCGTTAACGATCGCTCTACTAGATATGAGATTGAAAATCCATTAAATTTCTTCAATCGCCCGCGCTCATTTCTGAAGTATCAAAAGGGTGTTCTGCGTTTCTAATCGGCATGATTCATCGGGAGGAATTCGAAAACAGCCGAGACATTATCAAATATTTATTATTATTGACCCGGCACTGATCCCCGCGATCAACAAATGTAGTCGCGTATACCCTCGACGCGAGGGGTATCGTCCCAATTCGACTAATTAATTTCTTCCGCATTGATTTTGTTATTGCTCTCGGGTTAAGACGCGAAGATTGCTCGGTTTTTTTTTTTTCCATTGTCCACTAAGTTAAACCTCGCACGGACTCGCGCGATAAATAAAAACTCCTCTCGATAAAAATTCCATTATTTGGTGTTCATTGGTGCGCTTGTATTGGAAACTACACATAGTACACTTCGCAATAAAGTCACATAATTAAACCGATCAAACCGTTCGGGAACGATAGGGAAGATATATTCCTTTCTTTCTTTTTTTTTTTTCTTAGTGAAAATAAGTAACTCCGAAAACTTCCGTAAATACTTCACGACTTCCGGTAACTGAAAACTTCGACCAGCTTAAGCGTTCATTAGCTACTTAAAGTTTCTTTCGGTACAAAGTACCGTTGACTAGATTTTACGAAACGCACTTTTGAAGCTTAATCCACCGTGAAAGATGCTTCCATCTCCTACACGTCTTATCGTGAATCCTATATACGTTTTGATAGAAACTCGTATAATATTTACGAATTAATTCCTTTCCATGTTCGTGCAACACCTTTCCCAGTTTATGAAATTTTTTTCATACGGTTAATCGATTAATCTTGCAAATGGGAGGTAAAAATATTTAATTTAATTTGCTAATATGAACAACATATCTTTTGAACGAATCTAAAAAAAAAAAAAAAACACATGTTTTGAAATATTAGATTAATTTGGAATTTCTTCATTAGATTGTATTTATTAAATACTATGATGTTAACAATACGATATTATATGTAAACGTATAGCGTGTTACTTTGCTCGTCGATATTCAATCAGCCTTCGATTTCGATATAACAACGATTTTCGTATTCCATTAATTCTTTATAAAATGCTACTGGTGTCTGAAATAGCTTCTATTTCTCTTAACGTTGAATATCACGATATCTTTAACGTCGACACGATTAATATCAATTGCGTCATTATAAATATTTTTAACAGTGTAACGCGTTCTTTTGTTGTTTTAGCAGATAATAATAATATCAGCAAAAGAAGGACAGGAAGATTGAAATTTTTTTATGGAAACAAAAGAAATTTAACACGTACGATCAATGAATGAAACTCGGAAAGGTATCGGCACGAACGAGAATCGTTTTGATATTCGCGGCACGTCTAGCGACAAAACAGAAGAACGTAAAACCGGAAGCCGGCCGCTGGATCGCATGTACGATGTATGTTGCGCTTGTCGGAAATAATTGAAGAAAAAAAAAGTGAATTCGAGACTTTCACGCCGATATTTATCGAATATTGGCCCGACTGGGGACCCAGCTCTCGCCAGTATAACATTATTTATAATAGTTTATTTCATCTTGCTGCTTATACAATATGCTTTAAGTGCTGATTTCGTTTAAATAGTCCTTTATACCGCTAATTTCTAGTACTCGTTGTTATCGCTTCTCTATATATGTAATATATGTATTTATATATTTATATACATATTTATTATATGTAGCAGAAAGAAAATGCGGGACGAGACTGAAAATGATGAACTAAT